GAATTAATATCATGGGGATGCCTACAATCTGAAGGAGAAGCCTGTTGCTTCACTTCTATAGCTGTGCTTTTACCTGGAATAAAAGAGATTAATGTATTCTGAAGGCATGCATTTGAGTGAAGACTTCTTGTGCCAAAATGTAAAGGTGAAAGTCTTCTAAAATCCATGTGGAAACTGGACATTGAACAATGAAAGATGTGCTTCCTGATAAAATGTGGTGTTGGGGTATTCATGCAAGAAGCCCTGCATAGGAAAGAAATAGATGCACTAAAGTATTCACACATACACACACACACACACATATATATATATATTTGTTGGTCATTCCCCATCTCTGAAATACATACATGATGGTGCCATTCTGGAGTGTGGTAGTTTTGCACTTGAGTAGACAAAATTTTTTTCAAGGTCCTGTTGACATCCCTTTCAAGGAGTGGAGGCGTCTTACTGGTCTACCAACATGGTCCCTGTAAGGTTTGATCCTTCTCCCAAGCAAAGAATTTCTTCCTGTTATATTTCTCTCAGTAGATATAGTGAAGTGATTAGCAGAATAGGAAAACGTGTGAAGGAAGACTAGTAATGGACTTCATGAAGTTTGTTACTCCTCCTCCCTTACTGCTTGAGGCAAGTGTGATTAGGATTGCATCTCTTAGCCCATTTCAGTTGCTAAGCACAAATGAGATTGTCTTCAGTGTTAATGATGTTAAATGATTTAAAATCCAATCAATTCAGTCGTTATTAATTGCTGTGTCTGAATGGAAACAGCTGTAGCACTTGAAGACTCTCTTGTGCAAGTCAGTAATATTCAGTGTTGCCCATTTTAATGCACTTGAGATGCAACAATTGGTACATTAAGACTGCTGGTGTTGCTGTTGAATCCAAGTGGAGGGACTGTATGCGTAGAAGAAACCAAAATACAAAAAAAATAATCCTAATTGCAAAACAGTGTTTGCTTTAGTTTACATGTTCTGGACTCGTGTTTTCACAGGGTACATGCGTGAACTGCTCTTTTGGGGAAGTAGAAAGGTCACAGATAAATGTACCAAGTATACGGCCATTGTAATTTTGTAAGACTGCTTCCTTGCACCTTCATTATGAAAACAATTTAAGAAATAAGAAGTTAAGTCTAGGAGGAAACAATGCCAGTGTGATCATCAGCAGCAGAGGCTTTTGTAGCCAGCTTTGCTAATTTGGCAGTTCCTTTTAAATGTCTTAAAAATATAGATTTTCCTAATCAATCATATGGTATATGAAGTTGAGTATTTTTGTATGTGTTGTTACAAATGTTTCCAACAAAAGAAAGTGGCATTTAACACTGTAAATGTAGTAATTTGTTTACTGAGTGTTAAAACTCAGTTGAATGAAGTAGTTAAAAATTGCACTGTGATGTACCTCTTCTGTCAGGTGAGCAGAAATAGCATCCTTTGGACATGGAATCCTTCTTTCTCCCTCTTTGCAGGTTTCCTGGAAGCATACCTGGTGTAGAGGGCCTTGGTGTTTCTACATGCTGCTTGTACTTCTGTTTGAACAAACCCACTTGCTTTATTTGTTGCCATTTTAGTGTACTCTTCAGAAAATTATGGAAGAAGAGTAATAACTTGTGAGAGGCAGTGGCTTTTAATTTGTATCCTGAGAGTTACCAGAGCTCATATCAGCATGTCCTGTTGTGAAACAGGATCTCACTGAAGTTGACAATTTATCTGTATCAGAAAGGCACTGAGATAGATTTACTTCCCATTCTAATCTTGTGAACAGAACAGCTCAGCAGGTGTTCATGTAGCTTTATACTGAAGGACCAAAGTTGGTTCCTTTTTTTTTTTTTTAACTTTTTGCCCTCTGCTTTACGTTCTTCACTTATATTTTGTAAAAGATACAAGGGAAAAAAATCCTAACAAAATGACATCTAATAAGGAGTAGTATGCTTTATCACAACTTTGACATTAAACTGTATGGACTACAGTTTTATAGCAGGTTATTGTATCTGCTCTGTTCTTTATTTATAAAATCAGTGAGTAACATAGGTTGGTAAAGATCCCTAGAAGTTTTCTGGTCTAGCCCCCTTCTACAACATGGTTCAATTGAATCAGTTTTCTCAGAGGATTTTCAAGGTTGGAACATCTTCAAGGATGGAAATTCCACAACCTCTTTGAGCAACAAATGCATAGTAAATAATTATGATAACAATAAAGGAAGAAGAATCCTTATATCTATTTGATATTTCCAGTGTTTCAGCTTGTCTGTTGTCTTTCATGCTGTCTCTGCGTACCTACCCATTAGGGGGTTGTAAGCAGCAATGAGATGTCCCCTGAGCCTTTCCATCTTAATGGTGGAAAGATCTAATTATCTCAGGCTCTCCATGGGCATCCAACTCTGATGAATTTGATTGCCCTTCATTAAACACCGTTGTGTCAATGTTGTTCATGTTCTGGGGAGCCCAGAAGGGGACATGATCCAGGTGTGTTCTCACGTGTGCCAAATGCCAGAGAAGAATTGCTTCCTTCAACCTCCTGGCTCTTCTATATATATCATGATGCAGCAGACCTTTGCTGCTGCAAGGGCTCATTGCTCATGCACTCTTAGTGTGCAAAGGCCACTAACATGGCTATAATGATTTTCTGAGTCAGAGGCTCAGGAGATGCAGGAGAGTTCTGGCTTCTCTTAATCCCCTGTGCTACCTTCCTTCATTATGGCCATGTAGCTACCTTCTGAGAACGATTCCTGATGAATCCTTCAGAGTGACAGGGCATGGGAGTTGCTGACTTACTGTTCGTCAGTGAAATTCACCTTCTCTGTTCCTGCTTTCATTTTTTTCATCATGTAGCAGTGGGTATGAATGCTAAGCAAATGTTTAGTGTCAGCAAATAAGAATGCATATCCCCCTCTTTTCTCCATGCTCAAGAAGAATAAGCGTCAGCTCAGTGTTCTCTCCCACTGAAATGCACTTTGATGACAAAAACTTTTTCTTTCTTGGCTTGCATCAAAATGAATGTTTTAGGGAAAAGTAAGATCAAATGATGCTTTTTTCATTCATCACAAAGTGAGAATTATTTCTCTTCACCACAACTGTGGTAGACAAATATACATGCAAAATGGCGGTATCAAAGACTGTCAAAATATGCATCAATCAAACTTTTTGTGTTACAGGAGCCAAAACCAGTTTCTGGAAGGTAAAAGACAAAAGAGAATACAAATAAGGCAACAAGCTATTTTACCTCCTTCTGCTTTTATTGCAGACTTTTGTACAAAATAGCATTGTTATCTGAAAGTCATTACTTTCCAAGTCAGCAAGGTGTAAACTCAGAAAAAGGATGATGTATCCCAAATGTAAATGGAAACATGAAAATAAAGTTCTTTAACTGGCCTTCTTGAGGAAAGGAACTGTGCTGCTGATTGAGCAGGTCATTTCTGTCATTATCTAATGTGACTAAATAAACTGAGATCCACAATGAACAGTTAGTACAGCAATTTGCAAACGAGTGTTACGGCTCTGGAGGTTACAAGTATCCCCACTTTTAATTTTTTTATCCTTTTAAACTTAACCGTATTCATTGTAATACAGATTTTCAAGCATCTTAATCTTTAAGCATCTTGTAACCCACTCTACTTTTTATGTTAGGGAATTATTGAGATTATAATGTGCTATATGAAAAATCACTCTATTCATAAACGGCAAAGAAATATGAGCACTGATCTTCCATCTAGGAGTTATTTATGTTGGCACATCAGTAGGATGAAGGTTTTTGAAAGCAGGAATCAGACTAACTCGTGCATCCTGCCTGCTGAGGCTGTGTTACGGTGCGCTGGTTAGCTTGTGCTCCTGATTTTAACCTTATATTTATTCACAGTTATTGTGTGCTTATTCATTAGTCTACCAATATTGTCCCTTACAGCTCTCTTCTATGGAGAGCATGGTTCCTGTTCTTTGTCTTCAGTAGTTATTTTCATCCCTCTTAAACTTTGTTTTGCCAAGGTAAACTGTCTTGGCTTCTGTGGGAAGACACAAGTAAGTGAATAGACGGACTAGTAGTAATTTTCTGGTCATACTGCTGATTAAATTCCCTTTTCTGAATGACAAGAACTGTATATCATATGAGGAGGTATTTTACTGTGGTGTGTCAAAACATTGCTGTCACCTTTTTTCAAATGCATTCCAAGCATCCTGCTGGTGACTCATTGTGAACTGTCATCTTTCAGTTATAACAACACAGTTTTATTTCTTTTTAACCACTTCCTACTGTTAAATCATTGGCTCTACAATGAAACTCTTGAGTATGCAGCCATGCTTGGCTGCTTCTGTTACTGGTTCCCTGGATCATGCAGTTCTTCTTTCATACCATTAATGCCTCTTAAATTATTTGAAGTGACACTTTTTCTAAACTATTTCTACTTTCTTGACAAAGACAAGTGAAAATTTTGTAGAAAAAAAAAAACAACTTATCATTTAACTGATTAAGGTACTCTGCTTCTAATGATACTCTCCTTCCAACTCAGTAATCGTCTTTCTAGCAAAAGCACAAGTACCCTCAGGCACATGGGTATCCCTCTGTTGTGGCCTATGCTTAAAGTCCCTTTTCCCTTTTTAGCCTTTCTAGCATTATCTTATTGTCCTTCCTTACATCTGTCTTTACATTGCAGTTTTCTATCCTTAAGTGTTCTGAACTTCATTCAGAATTTCCTATGCTGGTCTGCTCCCTTTAATCTGTAGTTTTACTGCTTATTCTTGACATCCTTAATTGGTGTATGGTATCTTGCCCAATAAGCTGCTGCTCTTTGCTTTTATTTTCTATCAGTGATTGATCTCCCACCACATTCATTTTATTCATGTAATAATTTGAATGGGCAGACTTTCCACTTGAGTCCCTTCACCTTGCTGGTCAAGACCTCTTGCATTTCTGTGCAAATGTTTCAGTTACTCCTCTCTGACTTCTCCCTGTCAAGTTAATTTATGATGCATGTTTTCACTTCTGAAATCTCCATTCGCACCTTGTTTTATCTAACAGAGTCACTGGAGGTGAATTATTTGAAGATATAGTTGCAAGAGAATATTATAGTGAAGCAGATGCTAGGTAAGTAATTTGGTCTTCTAACGTTGCCTTTAGTAACTATAGGATAGTTACTTACATCTCTCATGGTGTTTGGCATCAGTTTCACTAGCACAGCCTGTGAAACTAGGGTTTGTCCTAGAGACTCTTAGACTTGGAAGGGCACAGTTTGCTGTTTTGAGCTTATGACTGTGTGGTGGAGAATTTGTATGAAGTCTTGACATCTGCTGATCTGAAAAGGATTAAATCACTTCTCACTTTGTTAAAATCTTTGTGAATTTGTGAAATAGTTAAAATCCTAACCAGTTTTCTCCTCTGCAGACTGGACATAACATTTCAGCTGTCTCATCTAGGGATTCTTAAATGTACTGATCAAAGTTTGAAATATATGCTGGTCTTGAAAAAATTTTACATTAAATACCATTCTTGTTCTCAGACCACAAGTACTAATTTCCTTTTCATATTTAAACATTTCTGTTGTGTATCATCAATAAGCAATTACACTGTACATCTCATAGTCTGAGCTCAAATATGAAATCTCTAGCAATTTTCTGCAAGTGCTTGTTGAAAAACTTGAAGAGTAAATTGACAATTACCATAATTTGCATGCTGACATAAAGTGTCAGGGCCTTTTTTTTCATCTCAGAATCTGTTTGCCCTCATATAATAATAAATCTTGAACACTCTTATGTAATTATGAATCTTAAACTTTGTGGTCAATTACTGTAAAGAAAATATGCTCTACCATTAAACTCTTCACAGAAAATTTCTCTCAAAGAATCCTCATGGTTTTGTGTGTTCATAGTCACACACCACCATTGATATATATTTAAATTTCAGTTATTCCTTGGAATTAATTGGCAGATGATTGGGAAACATTAAGTGTCATTAGCAACAGTGGTAGGATAATAATGAACAAACAAGAAACAATATTTCTCTTGAATATTAGGAAGCTTCTACTAATTTTTGTAGGAGTACTAGAAAACATCATTCCTTGAAGCATTTAAATGCAGAACAATACATAGTAAAACACATTGTAGAAGAGAAGATAAAATTGTTAATTTAAGTGAGATGGAAGAAGAGGAGTTACGTTTAAAAATTTTTTAATTACTTTCTGCCTGTTGTGATTCAAGCAAAATTTTAAATATTGATGCCAAAGGCCAGCATATGGTGTCATTGTGTGTTTTTAAGATACCCGTGATTTAAAAGGAAAAATTGCAATGATTTATTTTTCTGTTTTGGAATTGTGACATATTGGAAGGGGCTGTGCATATATATATACGATATATGATATATATATATCGTATATATATATATGTGTGTGCATTTTATATATCCAGTAAAACTTGACCAAATAAGTGAAATAGTTACAATGCATCTCTGTATATTTATATATATACATTTGTTTGTGTGTGTGTTCGTATATATATCAATATAGTGTGTGTGTGTCTATGTATATCCCTATAGAAATAGTTAATGAAATGTATAGCTGCATATCTTAGGACTATGATACTGGTCTGCAAGTCCTTACTCATGCAAGTAGTCTTTACTCATACAAGTAGTCCAGTTCAGTGAGTTGTGAACTACTTGCAGAGGAAAGGGTTTTCAGGCTTGGGCTCCAGTTACTGATTTATGACCATTCCTTCTGAATTCCATGGTCAAAATGTTTAAAAATGTAGATGGTTGAAAATTTAGATCAGTATCAAATCTGTGGCCCTTGATTACTACTTACCATCACTTACTTCTGCCACAAGATGATACTTAAAAACAAAAAAGTAAGCTGTTGTGATACCAAAAAACATCTGAAAAGTTCCAGTGATCTAGAGGATGAACACTTCAGTTGTGCTTTTTTGGCATCATAGGCTGGCCAAAACTTGCAAACTTGGGCATGGAAAAATTAGGTGCTAATTAAATGATTTAAAGCAGCAAAATAAAATGGTTTTCCACATTTTTAACATGGGTTTCCATTTCATGAGTGACTAGTGCTTGATGATATTTTAAATGAAAGTGCATGCCACCTTTTTGAATGACTTGGCTTTATTCTACTAATAGATTTTAAGAAACCTTTAAATTCAAAATGAGAAATGTTTTGCTTTTCATAAGTTTTTCACCTTTTTTTTTTTTATTTCATTTGTTTTCTGTGTATCATTGCATTTCTGAGCATTTCCTTGTGTCAGCAAGTGTTGTAAAGTTAATTTCACCCTAAAAATTCTAAAACCCCCAAACATACCAGTAATTGTTTTACTGCCTGCACATTATTTTTCCTGTAGCAGTTTTTTGGAAACTGGACAAAGGTTCCATACTGCTGAATGAAAAAACAAAATAATGATTCTGTCTCACAGGTGTCATCTGTACCATGTTCAGTGTCTTTTATTGGTTTGTTTTTGGTTTTGTGGGGGTTTTGTTTGGCTTTGATGTACTTTTTTTTTCTTTTTTGATGCGTTACAGCTGGAGATCTCTCTATATCCAACATTGCTTTGGTCAATGTGCAATCGAGACATGTCAGGAAGTGTAAAATTGTTTTTGTTCTTTATCTTTTTTCTTTAAGTTTTATTTTATTTTGTATTTGATGTGATTATGTGCCTTTAAAATGTTCTCCCTTCCATTCTGCCCTTGTATCTTTGCAGTCATTGTATACAGCAGATTCTAGAAAGTGTTAATCATTGTCATCTAAATGGCATAGTTCACAGAGACCTGAAGGTCAGTATCTGGTGCCCATCAATTGGCTATAAGAGTTTGGGGATTTATTTTTTGCTGGGTAGGGGCAGAGGGTGGGTTGTCTGCGATGTTTCCTTGCCTATCCTATTCACCCTCAAAACAACTAGTCAGCCAAATAATGCATGATACCTCTTTCCAGTTTGCAAGTCTACAGGCCTAGTATACATCATGGCAAAAGGGGGAATGGTTGCCAAAAACCTGTCTCCTTCCAAGGCGCTGGAGTTACCCTGTGCTGTTGAATGTGTTCTGGTATCTATCTGTTGAGGCTGTCCATGTACCGCTGTGTCCGCACATGGAGGTGAACTTTGGCAGTGATGTATGTCGGCTTGCAGATTTAATAACCACTTGTGTTCCAAGGCCCGGGGTTGCAGTTGCAGAACCGCTGGTCGCACATGGCTGTGTTAGAGTATGACGAATCCTCAGGCAAGTGATGCTAATTGCCGGCAAAATGGGAGCTGGAGAAGTTAATCACTGACCTCACCTGCATCGCTTGGAGGCGGGGGGAGAGGGAGGGGAATTACTCAATGGCCACTACAATTTGTGAGTGAATGTGTGAGGAAGGGCCGAAAAAGTGCAGAGGATGCTAAATGTTTAATACGACCTCGCCAATGAAATATTGGCAAAATTGGTGCGCGTTCCCGACAATTTGCCTTTTACAAATTGCCATTAAAAAATAATAGTAAATTAAACTAAGACCAAAGCAAAGCAGCCGACCCGCAGCACGTCTCCGAGGCTGTCCCTTACGGATCCCACAGCGGCGGTGCCTGAGGCCGTCGTGCTCTGAGCGGCGCGGAGCAGAGCGGGGCGGAACGGGGAGCGGGGACTCCGCACGGCCCCTTCCCCGCTCCCGCCGCTGCCCCGGCCCCTCCTGGCTGCGGGCGTGCGGGCGGCAAGTTCACGCTTGGGACTAACACGCGCCCCTGGTGTTTGCATGCAGTCATTGCATTCAGCAGATCCTGGAGGCCGTGCTACACTGCCATCAGATGGGCGTAGTCCATCGGGACCTCAAGGTGAGTGCTGCTGCCCGACGAGCCCTCTCCACGCCGTGCGACAGCAGGGAGCAGGAAACCCTATCAAAAACGCGACCTTGAGCAGTTTTCTTTTTTGTTTTAGCGTTTTCCTTTTTGCTTTCCCCTTTTCTTCACCTATGCACAAGAACGAACCATAGAATGGTTTGGATTAGAAAGGACCTTAAGATCACCCAGTTCCAACCCCCATGTGACACCTCACACTAAACCATGTTGCCCAAAGCTCTGTCCAGCCTGGCCTTGAGCACTGCCAGGGATGGGGCATTTACCACTTCCTTGGGCAGCCTGTGCCAGTGCCTCACCACCCTCACAGTAAAGAACTTCTTCCTTAGAGCTAACTTGAACTTCCCCTGGTTAAGTTTGTACCCATCATTCTTGTCCTATTGCTAAAGTTCCTGATGAAGAATCCCTCTCCGGCATCCTTATAGGCCCCCTTCAGATACTGGAAGACTGCTGTGAGGTCTCCACACATCTTCACCAGGCTGAACAGCCCAAATCTGCTTAGCCTGGCTTCATACAGGAGGTGTTCCAGCCCCTGATCATCCTCGTGGACCTCCTCTGGCCTTGTTCCAACAGTTCCATGTCCTTTTTATGTTGAGGACACCAGAATTGTACACAGTACACCAAGTGAGGTCTCACAAGAGCAGAGTAGAGGGGCAGAATCACCTCCTTTGACCTGCTGGTCACGCTCCTTTTGGTGCAGCCCAGGATACAGTTGGTGTTCTGGGCTGTGAGCGCACACTGAAGTGAGCTCATGTTCAGTTTCTCATTGACCAACACCCCCAAGTCCTTCTCCTCTGGATCACTTCTCTGCCAAACCACAGAAGAAAATCTTCTCAAGACTTCTCATTACCTCACTATCCAGATCCACAGTCCGCTGGCACCCGGTGTCAGTACCAGGGAGAACAGGAGTTGCTTTTCAAGCATTTGGTGTATCCATCAAATACATGATCTTCCTCTCTGTCATGCAGAGCTTTTGGGGCAGGGTGTGTGGGGAACTTTCTCATCAGTATAACTTGGAGTTCTTCTGGGAAGCACACTTACGCTCTCATGGCACCCATTTCAGTGATGAAAAGCCAGCTGCTCTGAGGCTCCTGGCACAAAGACCTCCTCCAGATGATGGCTGGGCTTCAGAACACCTTTAAAAAGTGAATTTCTACAGTGTTCTCTCCATGATCACCTAAGGAATCAAGCTCCTTCTGGATGAACAGTACTGTTGGGATAGAAGCCTCGGAAAGCAAGCTCTTGTGTTGAGAAGAGCATTATCTCTCCCTTACCCATCCTAATAGCTGGAGACATCTACTGCAAAAATGCTGTCTACATTTCAAGCATGTTGGCACAGAAATAAACAAATAAAGATCTTTTTTTTCTAGTGGGAAGCTCAGAGAGGCAAGTCTGCAAACTAGCTAGTAGTGTGGATAAGGAGAGGACTTAATTTGAACTCTTAGGCTTCAAGATCCTCAAGTAAAAGAAGATTGTTTATTTTGAAATGAAGTGGAGGGGCACTGTCTGAAATATCAGACCCTTTACAAAGGCAGCAAGAAATGGCCTGTGGGCTAAAGCAGTGAGACATGCCAGTTTCTTCTAGCACAGCTTCTTTGCTTCTGAGTTTCCTTTCTGAATGAGTTATGGGGAGCAGGAATTTCCTTCCAGGATAAGTATTTTCCAGTACTTGTTATTAGTAATAATGCTGGAATCAGGATGCCATCATCTTTTTTTTTTCTTTTGCCTTCACTTCCAAGTAAACAATTGTTCCTGTCTGATTTATAAAATCCCAGTTCTTTTCCTCTAGGAACAGAAGGGTTACATTCTGAAAGTTCAGAGAGCATCATGGAACTCAAGGATACATACACTAAATTCTCTACCCATTTTGCGCTTCTGGATTTTCCTGTGTCATGGCTGCATAACAGGAGGCTGACAAGTCTATCAAATCCATAAATCTTGCATGTCGGCCTGCTCACGTGGAGTACGTTTAAATTCATTTCAGGGATGTCACATTTCTCTAGCTGCTCCAACCATTCCTGTCCCCAGTGTACATGCACAAGAAGGAATTGAAATAAAAGATTGCAGCTGTGCAATCTGGCAAAATGAGGAATGCTTGCTAGAACTTTTCACACATTCAGGCAAAATAACATTTCTTTGAAAATGCATTAAGTCCAGGTGTTACCTGCTCCAAACCAAAATGTGGAATTCTTACTTTGGCAAATCCAGGGTGAACTTGAAAAACTGTGAGAAAAAATGCTTTTGCCAAGCTGTAGTGTACCCAGTTTATTTTCTGACAGTGAAAACTTCAGGAAGCAGAAAACCATTCTTCAGTTACTACTTTGTGGCAAAAGAAAAAAGCCAAAGTGATACAGAAGATTCTGGTGAAGTCGCAGCCTAAGATGCCAAGGCCTAAGGCCAGAATGGCAAGATATGCAGAAGATGGTTATGGCCTGACATGAATCCTTACTCTGCAAAACTTGATGGATTTCTGTCAGTAACTCAGGCCACCGTTTGATGGCATGTTTGGGGCTGGGGAGGGCAATGTGAGGGAGAGATTTTGAGCAATCTCGTTTTATTCACCTTTCTTTTAGCATAATTTAGTAGGAGAGAGGAGGTTCTGCAGTCCTTTACAACCTGCAGAAGTACTTGTTGCTGCTCTGTTTGTAATCCATGGTGTAAGTCAAAATGGTGGTGGAACTAAAACCAGAAAAAATTAGCCTGTTAGTGGCAGCCTTTCTTTAACAGATGGTGAAAGTGCACTTCAGGGTAGAAATTCAGCTCTTGGCAGTTAACAGCATTGCTGCTTTTGTGAAGTTCTGTGATTATGACCCTCTTGCATTCCCCCCAAAAAGCAGACGCCCTGGTTGTATTCAAGCAAAAATACACAGAGGCATAAGTACTTGATCTCCAAGATTTCAAGACCTTTGGAAAAGTAAGGCATAAATCATGTTCATTTACTTGTAAGTAATAGTAGTAGTTAACACTGCCATTCTACACGCTTGACTGCAGTCAGTCCTGTGCTGGTGGCACAGGGTGACACTATTGACTCCAAAGTATGAGTCCAGAGTGGTCCAAGCTGCGCTGTTAATGTTTTCCAAGTAATTGCATTCATTCTAAGTTAATGCATGGTAAATATCTAATATGCCTCCTGTCATCCTGGAATGAGAGCTGTGTGTTGCTTAAGCACACAGTCCCACACAATGTTGTCTTTGGCAGAGGAGCAAATCAGGAAATCTGCTTCAGTTTCTGTTGAAACGTACGTATGACAGTGGTAATTATCTAGAGTGCTGTAATTGGCAGGGGATAGACATAGAATGGAATTAAAAAAAATATATCCTAAGGGAAAAAAAAAGAAGCAACCAAAGAAAACCAGCAGCAAAAATCGCAAAACTCTTCCGTATGAAATCCCATGGTGTAAGGTGGTATGTGTTTGTCAAATTAGTGCTTGTGTTCAAACAAGAGGGTGAGGAGTTTCCCTGCTTTTGGCTTGCAGAAGGTCACAACCAAGTATGATCATCTGTTGCTTTGAGGGGTTTTGAGAAGAAAGTGCATTCCAAGAAGTAATGACTAAATGTCTCTCACTTTCATAGGAAACCTTCAAGAACTGTGTGACTACATGTGTGAATTAGTGTAGTTGAATGACAGTGTGACATTGCTTAAATCAGTGCTGATGAACCTTGCAAAGAGTCTTCAGCTATTCAGTGTTTGAGATCATGTAGTTGAAGTGGTTACTAATAATTCAAGTTGCTTCAAAATTAAGATTATATTTTATTCTGAGTGATCTTAATCTTCTGTTTCCACACTTTTAAAAATCAAGTTGATGAATTGGCAAAAGGTTTTTAATACTCTCTTTTCCATGACATAGCAACAAAGGAATGATTGTAAATAACTGAAAAAAAATGTTCCTGTACAGTTTGATGAGTGGGGGAAAAAACACCTTTAGACTAAGGAGTTTGTCAGGGCCAGTTGTGTTGTTAATTAGTATCACAGTTGAGGCTTAATTAGGCTCAAGCATATTTTGCTGAATAGTTGATAGATGTATTAAGGATAGCCTTTGCTGAAATGAAAGAAGCTTATGATGGCAGTTGTTTCCAGACGTAGTACTTGCATGGGATTAACTGTAATCACATAAATAGTCCCTTGGAAACCTATAGGATTGCTGCTGGATTTAAAAGGAAATCGGAGTTTAAGAGTTTGCAGAATTAAGTCCCCAGTGCCAGACTGGATATGGTGAATTCCCCTGTGACCTATTGCTACAGAAATTGCTTCTGCAATGCCCTTGAAAATGAAGTTTTGTTACTATGTACATGCAGAACAAAACCTTTTTAAAAAATAATGGAGATAGAAAAGAAAGAAATGTCAAGACAATACCATAGAGCTCACATTTCTCTGAAATTATCTGTTGAATTCTTGGACAATTTACATTTGATATGTTTGCTAAATGAAGTTAAACGGATTCATTATGAACAGCAGAATGAACACCACTGTTCTGTTCAGATCCTTTTCTTTTAATTCTATGAGTGTACTATAGCATTTGATTTCACATATGACCAACATTCCCTAAAAGCAAAAAAGCAGAGAGGGAACTTTTGCAGACTTGCATTATTATTTGCAATAGGTTCTTTGCAAGCACAGACGTGGGCATGCTAGTTTGGCTGAAGGATTTGCAATGTAAATGCACCTACCCTCTAAATACAAATGTAATAATAAGTCTGTTATTGTTAAGCTGTCATGCAAAACAAATTTATGTATGACAGTACAGATGCCTAATCCTGGAAACTGCATAGGATAGACTATTGATCAAAGAAAAGGCATCTTTCAGGAGAGTTTTCATTATTTTTCTAGTAGTGGACCCTGAGGAGTCTTTGGATGGTCCTGTCACACAGACGGGTGTTGCAATTCCATATGAACATTATGGCTGACCTCCTTCACTAGCAGATCTGCATGCTTTCTATAGTCATGCTGTCATAGGGTACTAAAGGCTCTTTACAGGCCTGGTGGTTCTTTCCAAGTAGGACTAGGAAGTTCAATTTTTGCAGTTTCATGGAGAAAACACATGGGTTTCTTCTCTTTTTCACTCCTCTAAGTATTTCTTCTTTCCCAGACGGCTGTAGCTAAGAAAAAGCGAAAACTTGTCTAAAGTATATTTTCTTATCTTTACATTTCAATTTTTTTCTCTGTCTGAATAAAGCCTGAGAACTTACTTCTAGCTAGCAAATCCAAGGGAGCAGCAGTAAAATTGGCGGACTTTGGATTAGCTATAGAAGTCCAAGGAGAACAACAGGCTTGGTTTGGTAAGTAAATACTATTCTTTTTCCCTTGCAGGAAGAATGTTATCTGTAATTCTTACTGAATTAAACTTTACTGAATTAAAGCTTGGCAGCAGAGCTTATGTGTTTAAAAACTAAAAATAAATTAAAAAAAACACCAAGAAACAAAAATAAATCCCCCAACACTTCAGAAGTGACCTGTGGCTACATTTCCAAATCTCAGAGCTAACTTGACAAGAAGTGGGTCTTCTTTTTCTCATAGCTTCCTCTTTACTAGCAAAGGTAAGTCACCTACCAACAACATAGAAGAAATTGGCAAAAGTCTCTTGTGTTGGCACAACTATGTTCATACTGGGGATTTTGCCAGCACAGCAGTACTGGTACAGGGCAGGATGGAGGGAGAGGGTTTTATAATCCATGCTTCTAGTAAATACAGCGTTACAGATGTTCCTTTTGACTGTAGTCTGTGTGCCATTGACGTTTCTTGACCTGGAAACTTAGGTTTCCTGATTCCTGCTTGTCCTAGCTTTTGTCAGCCTGTAGGTTTGACTTAGGTGCATACCACCCCCTTGTCCCCCACTTTCACCTGTGTATCTAGATGAAGGAAATACAGGTGTAGAGCCTGGGATGAAGACAGGCACCTTCCAGTCAGGTGCTTGTGTGACTGAAGAGTAAGGCTGTGGGTTAATCGTGCTGAGTGTACCCACCCAGTCATCAAAAACATTTTGTCTGAAAAATTTTCTGTCAACTGGTAATACCTGAAAATTTGCACTTAGGAATGTGACTTGAATGAAAATAAAAGGGGGCTGGGTACCTGAGGCTGTACACAGTCCACATCAAGATCTTGCTGTGACAGTGCAAGTTGTCTGTCACAACTCTTTATATTGCTGCCCTAGAGGTGACTGCCTCTTCACATCTGCAAATAAAGCTGTTTGTAAAACTGGTCTTTGACCCACTGAGGTCAAAATAAGCTGGCTTATTAAAAATGTACATTCATTAGTATATAAGCAGCTCATGTAGTACATCATGGAAAGCATAAACCCAGGAAGGTAAGGTATGGCTAAAAGCATCTGGAACCTTGCACAGTTGTCGGGAAAGGGTTGTCTGTCCACAGCTTACACCATCTTCAGAAGTTGATACTGGAGTTTCTGTCTGAAAACATTAGCTTCATCTGGGAGTGATCAAGAGTATGCTTTCTTGATGGAGAAGGTGACAAAGATGTATGCAAATGTGGAAGCAAACTCAGCCTGTGCATGTGACCACTTGAAGAGAGGACAGATCTGCTCATGAAATGTTGTAAAGGGAGGGTGTCTGCCCTCCTGAGGGTGGCCCTTGGTGGTGTGATCCAGTTCTCCAGAACTGACACCTCAGATGTAGCTTAGGTGTCCTGCACAATGCTTCTCCTCAGGTTCTAAGAGGATGGAAGATAGTAAATTAAATATAGTGCATTTCTCTCCAATTTCACTAAACTCTTCTCTTTTTTTGTTGTTGTTAATTAAAAAAACCAAAATGCTGAATATAGATTGTTACAGTTACCAAGCAGACAAAGGAAAACAGTGGAAAAGATTGAATACTGGTCATTGTAAGTAATAGGACATCTACAAATGCAATGCATCTGTCTCATACACCACCCTCTGAACAGATGTGAAGCACAGGACAAAATTTAATTGTAAATCCCAAGAGGTAAAAATACAGAATAGAATATAGCAGCTATGTCTTTTCACTCAGAGCAACTAGAAAGTGTCATTTGAAATTGAATAAAGTAGTTGTGAGGTTGCTGTCAAATCTTAGAATGACAGAACAAAGGATTTTGTGAGAGACTGGGGCTGTAAATCTAGGATATAACTACACATGGATTCACAGGCAGTACTGCTGGACACATGTTAGTAGATCTGTAAACTAGCCTGTTGTTTTAAATCCCAGCTTTTACATAAATGGATTTCAGTAATCCACAAAACACAGAGGAGATTGCTCTTGCACATTAACAAATAGTTCAGGTAAATAGGAAGTGTCTCAAGAAAAAAATCAGCAGAATGAACTTGACTTCAGGGTTATTTTCGGTAAAGAATACATCTGTGTGGATGCAGATGACCCACAGAAGGCTGCAATTCCCTGTGAAATAATGCACTTTATCTTTTGGTCTGGTTCCTGTGAAGTACTTGGTTTAGACTTGTAGCTACTGCCATGCTGAACTTGGGAGAAAGGGGATGGAAAAGAATGTCTTCAAAATACACATGTAAGGAAGAGGTAAGCTGGCAACGAGGTAATAGAAAATAGAGTAAGTAGTCAAATGTGGCTCTTTTATTGTTGTTGGTATTTGATAAGACTAGTGGGTTCTGTACCTTTTCTGGAACTTCCTCTGCAAAACCTTTCTGTAATGATCTGAGTACCTTCTTTCAACTTTATGACTGCTTTAAGAAGGCAGAAAACTCAGATGTGCTTGGTATTTTGAACTTCTTATTGCTCCCTTCTGAAAGATTTTTCAGCTTTCCACTGGATTCTGCAGCACTTGGTGACTCACAGCATGCTCTGATTCCAATTATAGCTGTGCAGTAGTATGTTTTTCTTTTTACATCTTTTACTGTCTCCCCCTCCTCCCTCCCCCACCCCCCCCTTTTTTTTTCTTTTCTTTCAGGTGTAGTCCTCCGATGTGATGGTTGCTGTTCTGCTTAAGCCGGAACTATGTCTCAGCAGGAAACTGGCTAGAGCCCTGTGTGTTCCAATACAAGGGAACACTTTGATGCTTTGCCTGTTGACAAAACAAACCTGTTCTGTAAAGTGTCACAGGGTTTAGCTGAAACACCCTGCCCCATCAGCAGGTGTACTGGGAAAGAGGCAGGCTCCACTGACTCACTGTCCCTTGTTGAAGTCAGTGGAAGAGCTGCAGTTAACTCACTGGTAGCTAGATATAGTCCTAGCTGCATCCCAAATTAAGCCCAGCCCTGCATCTAGAACTAAAAGATGCACCACTTAAGTAATTTGAGTAGTTCCACTGAATTAATTTGTTGGTTGCATTAAATTTAGGTTTTCTACAGTTAGTCTTTTGGATCCAGCTGTGCAGGAGGAGAAGGCTACTACTGCATACTTACTCTCAGCTGCTTGCTGTTGCTCCTTGTTGCCACCTTCTCTGTATGTCCTCACCAGATGTCTCATTTGAATTTTTGTTCCTGACTCAAAGGGAGGTATCTTAACAAAGAAGTACAATTTAAGACTGTTTAAACTAACATGGTTTATTATGCCATTTTAGTTTGGAATCCTTGCATTAGAAGTGTTGAGAAGGTTGTAAAGTCTAGCAAGGGGATGATGAAAGCATAGGGCAGATTTTAGAGCAGTAATCTCTTCTGCTGATGTTGTGGAATTATAGTTAACCTTCAGCCCAGGTTTGACTCCAGAGACATGGATGCTCTCCATTTACGTTAAGTAGTAACATTATGATGTAGTCTTTCCGTAAGAGGGTTTTGAGACTGTAAGCTGAGTACCATGCACTGTGTAGCAGTGTGCCACTGAACTCAACAAAGCACAGCATATGTCTTGGACCTTTGAATAGTTACTTAAGTCATATGATGATGGGAGTACCAGGTGATGCAGTCTTTTCTGGTCACTGTACTGCCACAGTCTCCAGCTTTGTGAGTTGTTTCAGCTAAAGTAATTGCTACTGTTACCAGTGGTTTTCTGGAAGATACACAGTTGCATTGGGATCCCTCTGACCACTTACAGAATTACCTTATACGCAGTTAACAATTTCAGTATGCTTTTCTTTTTCCCTGAAATAATTTCTGTGTACTCTTCTGTGTTTGCTGCTTTAAACAAGTTCAGAATATATACTAAAATATAACAATTACTTTTGTTTAAACCCATCCTGTATCTTCATCAGAAGATCAAGTTAGCAAAGTGCTATATTATTTTCAAGTGATGCATAGTAATGTTTATGGAAACACAATAAGCTTGAAAATTGAGACAACTTTACATCCCTTTTAAAATAATCAAAAATATTAGTAAAAATAAATAAATAAAAAATGAAAGTATTAATGTAAAGCACTACAGCCAAGAAGAGATACAAAATATTATCTTCAAAGCTATTTAGAACGTACAGTTTTCAGTTTCTCGAAAGAGCTTAAGTATGTTTCCTGTGTGATAGTACTCTAACAGTTCATAGCTTTCATATCAGGACGCTGGGAAAAACCAAGCCTATTTTTCATGAAAATATTTTAGCTATGTTCTCAGTAGAGTAGACAAAATGTGTTCCTTCATTGCCCCCTCCCACTCTAAACTGATTGCCAACTGCAGAGCAAAGGCTTACTTTATCTGTAGCTGTACAATTTATACATTATCGCCATGTCTCATAAGTTTTGTGGAATCCAGTGTGGTATTTCAGAAATGACGTGTTCCTTCATAAAAGGCACCAAATACTTACATTTCAAGAATTCTCAAGCATTTATTTTAGGCAAAGATGCTTGAAAGAACAGATACACTAACTGAGATGGCATAGAATGTTTTGGGTCATTTAGTTTTCATTATTTACAGAGGGTTCTATACCTAGTTTTTCCATTTCTCCTACAAGAACACAGCAGAGATGGTAATGAATAAAGAATGAAGAACATGCAAATTTTAAAGGCTACATTGCTCCAGAGATGCTTTTTGTCAGCTTTTGTAAGGAAGTTTCCAGACACGGGAGTGAGTTTTGCAGTGAAAAGATTAGAAGTAGCTGTGCGAAATATCAACAGCAAAGGCTATAAGAAGGCTGAGCCCAAGTTGATGGTCTTCATCCTAGGTAATAGCCAGGTGTGCTTTTGTGAAAGCTAATCCTCAGCATCTCTGGCCAAGTATTTTGCCACCATCTGGAACTGGAATTGAGTTTCAGTTGCATGTAAAGACATACGAACAATGTTTTTACTTTCCTTTTTTTTTTTTTTTTATTCTAAACAGGAGGTCTCTAAATATATAAGCATTTCTTAAATTTAGCCCTTCATGTTGTCTACTCAGAAATCTGCCCTCCTCTAAGACTGAATAGGGGTCTTTAAATGCTCCTTACAGTCATAATACTGTAGCTTAGCTGCCCCTCCCATTTTATTAATTAGTCAGTGGAAGTACACGGTGTGTTTTAACAGTCCACAGCTGACAGCTGATAGACTCCCAGAAATCCCATGAAAGTCTTGTTTACAATCCTCATCCTTATAGTTTGGGGCTAATTAAAAATAGCCTAAGTTAGTGATTGAAAAAACCCAAACCTGTAGCAGTCTTTGGCTTGCATTGTGTAAATTTTGTTTCAGTTAGTATCTCCAAGGGGATCAGTCAGATGGATCACTCCTCCTACTTTGCTGATTTTTTACTTTGACCCTAAACCAGATGTATTTGCATCTCACTACTTGGTGCCTCACTACAGCTTACAGTAATGCAGAAGTCATGAAAGAAATTTCTTCAGCTACCTTGTAGTCTTTCTGGAAGCTTTCATCTCTGCACCGTCACCAGATCCTTAACACCGCTGTAGAACCTGGAGTGTTGGTGTAGATGGGTAACCAGCCAGCTTTCAATCTCCCCTCGATTCTGCTAGACACGGTGGCAAAAATGGATGTGTCAGGTCTGCATTTGCGTTCCTATTGTTGTTATTTCTAAGTGATTCATCATAAAAAGTCGACAGTGAAGCGGTTAGTGGTCGGTGGCCTGGGGAATGATGTCCTGTGTATGATGTAGGCTGAGCTGAGAATCACTTGACTTTTGCAGAGCACTTACAGCTTCTGAGTGTAGTTGCCTTGCCTTTTGACAGGCTTTGCTGGTACTCCAGGATACCTTTCTCCAGAGGTTTTACGGAAAGATCCTTATGGAAAACCTGTGGATATGTGGGCATGTGGTAAGAAGTTATTTTGATAGACAATGTTCTGTCCACTTTAGGGTATCTTAAGTGTGAGAAATGATGTCCAGAATACATGATACTCTACATCAGAAAATATGTATTCAGTAAAATTCAGTATTAATTTTTAGGAGAAGTCACCATATTTTTTTGTCATTCTACCAGCTGCCTTTTTTTTTTTTTTTTATTTATTTGTGGAGGTGTGTTATCATGGCATTCTTGGCTGGGGCTACACAGCACACTTTCAGAAAATAATTAAAAATAGCTGCAGGTGCCTGATGCCTAACTAGTTCAAAATCATAACAATTCATGACTAGTTTTGGTTGACAAGCAGCCTGAAACCTGATCTGACCAGTATCCTACTACTGCAGTTTTAAACTGGGAAACTAAATGTTTTGTTAAAAGTACAGGACAATTACTTTATCATCCAGTTCTTGAAACAGCATATTTTAAGGTTTTGGCAAGTGGCAGCTACTTAGCCAAGAACAATTGGTGGTTTTCTTATTTTGCTTCTACCCACGCTTACTTGGATGTGTTTATGAAAGCACTTTTCTTTAGTCACAGTGAATTATCTCTGCAAGACTAGCAAATGGACTTTTTCGTTTCCTGTTGACCATATATTGATAGAGATAAACTGAGATGCCCAAATTTTCTTTGCATGAGATTAGTTAAAACACAATATTGCGAACACCAGTACAAGCCATGGTAAAGACAGAGGTAAAAATGCATTTTCCTAGAACATCTGTGACCACTGAAAATTATTTTCCCAGCTGTCTACATGTGTTCAGTGTTCGTGATTTGATACAGTGTCAGATACTCGTTATTCCCCTCACTCTGCAAGGAGGTTATGTTGTGAACTCTACATTTACTATTTTCTCCAGTATGAATAGGCACTATTTTTCAGTGTCTTAATACTGTTAAGCCATTTGGTTTACATGGTTGTCAGTTGCAAAATGAATCTCTAGGGTTTGTTTCTTGAAATCCCTTAATACTACTGTGAATTCTCTGCAGGTGTCATTCTGTATATCCTCCTGGTGGGATATCCTCCATTCTGGGATGAAGACCAGCACAGGCTTTACCAGCAAATCAAGGCGGGTGCTTACGATGTATGTACCATATGCTGTCTATTGAGTTATTTATAATTGTACCCCTAAATAACTTTTCTAGAGTGAAAGTGAAATAAGAATTATTTCTGAAATTATTTTTGTATTGGTTATCTCTATGAGTATATGCAGTATTTATGCAATGTAGTAAGTATTTCTTTAGTAACACAAACCTTACTGGGTTGGCACAGTATCAATGAAAATCCTGAGGTAAAAATGTGTAAAGATTGTACAAGATGACATACTCATACATATTTTTTTCTCTTCAGTTTCCCTCACCAGAATGGGATACAGTGACTCCTGAGGCAAAAGACCTTATCAATAAAATGCTTACTATCAACCCAGCAAAACGTATCACAGCATCAGAAGCACTGAAGCATCCATGGATCTGTGTAAGGAGTTTCCACAGATCTAACAAAATAATTTGGCAGACACATACTTCAGCATATAGCGAGATGTTTAGAGGATAATATTTGTTCTTACTTGTGCAGCTATGTAACTAGGGGAGTGTAAAATTGTAATTATACTGATACAGTCAGTAGTATCGTTTATTGAAGTCTCAGCCTAGGATAAGATTTTGCAGAAATTAACTTCTTTTCATTAACTTTGTGGTGGAGTTCACTGCCAAAATTAGAGCATTCTTTCTTTTAAATTCACAAAGAAAAAAAGTGTATAAGAAAGTAATATTAAGTTACGTAATGCTTTGCATCTTCCTTTCCCTGTAAATATTATGATAAGCATGAAATGTAAAGGCAGAAAATTAAGGAATTAAGGGACTTTTAAAAGGTTGGTTTTCATATAGCAAAGGCTGCCTGTCTATTACTGAATCCAGGACTCCTTTCCAGTGCTCAGTACATTCTACAGTCTGACTTTGCAGTTAAGACTGGGCTGATACTTTGAAATTGACAGCAAGACAAATAGCTGGTTCCCAGCTCTTTCTCATTGCAGCAGGCTGCATTATCTTGCTGTTAAAATTGTGATGCAGAGGACATTGAGGTACAGGGAAAACTCAGATAATTCAGATGCTGAATTTTCTCTGAAGTATTTTATCTTCTGTACCTTACCTAATATCACTAATGCTAAAGAAAAGTTCCCTTCTTGTTTTAATTTTGTGGGGTTTTTAGTCCGTGTTTCTTCCAAGGGGACTTTACACATGGTTGCGTAAAATGAGACCTTGCTTTTGTAGATGTGGAAATTTCGCAAATGTGTAGAAACCTGAACAAAGGGCTAGTCAGACCAGAGTGGAACTTAAAGGACCATATGGGTTGTAATATGTATCTTGTAGAGTAAATAAAATGCTAGAGATGTGGCTGGGTGCATTAAAATTATTTTCTTTTCAGCAACGCTCTACTGTTGCCTCTATGATGCACAGACAAGAGACTGTAGATTGCTTGAAAAAATTCAATGCAAGAAGAAAACTAAAGGTAAGAATGAAATCTGCAAGGATTAATAGCTGATTTTGGAGAGATCAAAGGATGTTGGCTTGTGTTCTATGTGTAAGGTAAATGGTCCCTAAGCAATTTTTTTCTTGAGTATTATGTATTAAGCAAACTGATACGTGATCAGCCTTTGGCTCTTCATGAAAGTGAACAGAGCATAGCATAATTCTCTTAAATTCAAAAGAATGACAATCAATCATCTTTGTTTATACACCTTAAAAATATTTTGTTGAAGGAAGACCCTTAAGGTTGTTCTTTTAGGTTGTCCCTTGTTTTCTCCTGACCAGGCCAGACAAGGGAACTTTGCAAATGCGAACTTTTCTAATTAGCCCATTACAAATAAACTCCTCTTCCTACTCATAAAAGTATCTAAGCACATTAGTGAAATTTTATTTCATATTCAGTTATGTCTTTTGCTGATAACGACTGTGCATGTGAGTGCGCATGGTCTGTGCATTACGTACTCACAACACCTAAATATTTGAGGTTGTGAGAATTACTGATAGGTGTGTAATTAAGATTAAATTACAGTTTATGCACTCATGGAATCATGCATGATAGGTAATGCACAGACAAGCTATTCTTCCAGGGTTAATGTAGTAGTTGATGTAATTTACTCATGTTTTCCTTTTTGTTGTGTCATGTTCACATTCAGAACTGTACACAAGTGTGATGCTAATTTGAGCAAATGTATGTGTACACAGGGGGCCATTTTGACAACTATGCTGGCTACCAGAAATTTCTCAGGTATGTTCATTGAGCTCCAGATTAATATGGTCTTTATGTTTTGATGTCTGTGGTGATCAAGTTCTAATTAGGATTTATTTTTAAAGATGTTTGTAATTCAGGAGCATCTAAACATGGTGTGTCTTTAAGTTGTTTCCTTTGCAGAATCAAATGAGAATTTAAACTGTTTGGGCTTAATAGAATCTCTTGTAGGTGACAGTCTTAATTTTTCAGTAAAATGTGAGTTTCTTCTCTTTGCTTTTTTAGTGTCATCTGTCAAAAGTGTTTTCCTCTTTGTTTTGGTGCAGAAAAATGGAAAATTATGCATACAGCTCCACATGCATAAGTATCACCAAACAACAGTTAAAAATTTACTTATTTTCATATAGTTGAAATGTCATTCCAGGATTCTGTTGTATTGTGCATTAAAATAATTAAGTACACATCCATTCTGTATTGCTTTGCTAAGTAACAAGTGTAAAAAATGTAGTAAAATGTGTCCTTTTCCTTCTAACACGTAGCTGGAAATAACAAGAGGTGTTTTCTCTTTATGGAATAGTTTTGTAGTGATATCCCTGGAGATTAGATCTTCATACTAAACAAATGTTACACCAAAAGCTAAGATGAGTTTGCTGTTATTGTAGCTACAATTGTCCTCAATAGCAGTATTGCCAAAATTTCAGTGCTATGTTGAATTTTTCATTTTGCCATCTGAGATTTCAAGTGAATAGTGAAAAAAAGGCCAAATTCAAAACCCAGTAATTCTACGTATCCCCCTACTCTGTGGTCACTATTGGAGTGTAATATAAGTTAATTTATGCACAAAAGCAAGATAGTGGTTTGGGAATATTTGGATAATAACTGAGTCATCAAAAATAATTTACATAATCGTGAATGCAAGAACAACTTGTTCAATTTGCATAGTACTTAAAATACAATTTCTTAGTTAAGTTCCTATGTTTAACACACACCTGTAACACAGAAGACTACATTTATGTAAATCATGTTGCATTAATGCCTAATGGATTGCCAGTATCTGCCAGTTCATTTGAAAGGTGGGAATACTGTAGGCTGCATATCTTGTAAACATGAATTATTATTAAATTTCAAACAAATTCATCATTTCTCATCACTTTTCATAACTTTCACTGTCTGTATGTGTAAGGCTTAGTTTCAACTTTCATGAACCAAAAAAAGCTGAAGTGACTTTAAAGCAGTATTTCAGCATGAGGAATAGACAGTGGTTTTGGCTTTGTTTTGGATATTTTTCACCTGCCATCTTTGTTTTACACCATAATGATCCATAGTTTTCCTTGAAGACATTTTATTTTTTCAAGTTGTTTGTTGTATTTCATTGCAAAGCATGCCTTTGAAGGTCATTTGTCCGTAGCAATGTGGCTACAAAAGTGTATGATTTTTCTTTTTCTTTCTTCCTTTTATGTGGATTATATATTTCTTGTGAGGTAAGACCCTCAGCACGTGAAAGGAACATCTTTTCTCTTTTCTAAATAAAAATTGCTGTTTGTCCTGAGCCACTTTACTTTCTACGTGTTGTCACATGTATGTCACCATTTCTCTTTAGTCTGCTTTCTGGCCTATTAGCACTGCCTTAGGTTTTCTTTATAGCTATTGCTTGTGGTTGCAAAAAGTCTTTCATTGTGGCCTTAATTTAGAATATGCTAATTGCTTTGCTACTGCAAATTCTTTAAATATTTTATTTGTATGCAGTATCTATGCTTAAAGAAGGATGCAGAAAGATGTTACTATAACTACATACCAAGCCAAAATATATGGAATTTCTCCTGTGACATAAAATACTGCATAATCATAGAATCAAAGAACAGTTTGGGTTGGAAAAGACCTTCAGATCATCCACTTCCAACTCCCCTGCCATGGGCAGGGAAACCTCACACTAAACCATGTCACTCAAGGCTCTGTCCAGCATGGCCTTGAGCACCACCAGGGATGTAGCATTCACAACCTCCCTGGGCAAGCCATTCCAGTGCCTCACCACCCTTACAGTAAAGACCTTCTTCCTTATATCCAATCTAAACTTCCCCTGTTTAAGTTTTAACCCGTTACCTCTTGTCCTGTCAATACAGTCCCTAGTGAAGAGTCCCTCCCCAGGATCCCTATAGGCCTCCTTCAGATACTGGAAGGCTGCTATGAGGTCTCCACGCAGCCTTCTCCAGGCTGAACAGCCCCAACTTCTTCAGCCTGTCTTCATATAGGAGGTGCTCCAGTCTCCTGATCATCCTCTGGCCCTCCTCTGGACTTGTTTCAACAGTTCCATGTCCTTTTTATGTTGAGGACACCAGAACTGCACACAATACTCCAAGTGAGGTCTCACGAGAGCAGAGTAGAGGGGCAGGATCAACTCCTCCAAATTGCTGGTCAAGCTCCTTTTGATGCAGCCCAGGATACAGTTGGTGTTCTGGGCTGCGAGCACCCACTGAAGCTGGCTCATGTTCATTTTCTTATTGGCCAACACCCCCAAGTCCTTCTCCACAGGGCTGCTCTGAATCTCTTCTCTGCCCACCCAGTAGCTGTGCCTGGGATTGCTCCAATCCAGGTGCAGGCATGGTTAAACTTCATAAGGTTGGCATCAGCCCACCTCACAAGCGTGTCAAGATCCCTCTGGATGGCATTCCTTCCCTCCTATCAGCTGAACCACACAGCTTGGTGTCATCGACAAACTTGCTGAGGGCGCACTCAATCCCACTGTCCATGTCAGCGACAAAGATGTTGACCAAAAAATAATAATAATAAAAAAAATCCATATGAGGCACATTTTGACAGATACGCCATAAACACAATACTTGTAGTTCTTGCTTTTGGTGCCCTCATTTTACTGGCTTTCATTTAATTGTTTACATATAACACATATAATGTTTGGTAAGTATTAAAAGAATTCAAAACTTTTATGTACGGATTTAGCAAAAGGACCCAATTTGTTACAAACAGCAGCCTGTAAGAATTAATTTATGTTTTCTCATCTTTTTCTAAGGGCTAACAGCATAAAACAGCTTTTGAAAGTAATGAAATTCTGGGTGCTTTGGCCATAGGTTTTAGAAATTGCTTTCTTGAAATGAGTTTCTGAAGTTCATGGAATGCTCCCAATATTTGTGGTAGTATAAAATGTAAGGCCATGTTGCATCAGGTCCTGTAAGCATACTTTGCAACAGAATGTGTCTTATCTCAAAAATTCATGTAAATCAGTTTGTTTTCAATATTAATTACATTTTTCTATAAATAAAAATATCCAGTGATCCTGTTGCATAATACAGGCATGTTTATTTTTATTTTAGTTGTAAATCGTGGGGCATGTGGAAATTGTAATGGCTGATGTACATAATAATTAACTTAATTTGGAGGGCTGATATAATAATGAAATTAGAAACATCAATCTGGCTTCATTTTCTTTTTTTTTTTTAATGTAAACAGCACAATAATGGATGTTAGTTATTTCTGTACAGTTTCTCAGGTGGTCTTACATTTTCTGTACTCTGGACTAGAGCTAAATTAGCACTTAATGCAGATGTAGACAGTGAATAAGCCAGAAATACAAAAATCAGGTTTAAATTACATACTCAGTAACTCCAATATCCTCAACTAGTTTGAATGACCTTGGGCTTGCAAGGTCCAGTTCTTTTGATTTGGTTTGGTTTATGGTTTTGGTGGGGGTTTTTGTTGCTTTAAAGAGCAGGTGCTGATGGGAGCTTCATGTGCGGACTGTCTCCGTTTGATTATGCCAGATTGTTAGTTGCGTTTCCCTTTCAAAAACGGTTTATACTTCTGAACGAAACAGCATATATAGAATAGAACTTACACCCTAAGCCATGATACGCTTTCTGATAGGAAGATGGGGTTGTAAACAACACTAAAACCAAAAGGTGCCAGGCTTGTTTTGTAATTTATTCTTCTTCAAGACTTGCCAATGAGTCATGAAGACTCTACACTTTGGTGAGTGGTTTATTTGAACTTTGTAGGTCACCCAGCTGTATTTCTGCTGTAAACTTTTCAGGTTCAGAGCTGTGATGTCCTTGTCTGCACATTAGCCCTCCAAATTCAGTTATCTGGAGTGATTCAGCCCCATTCTTGGTGCCAGCTTTAAGTGGTGGAATTTAAAGCCTAACAGATGGGTAATGTTAAGGCAGGTGAAATTTTGCCCAACAGTCTGCACTTCTTTGGAGAAATTTGATCAGTGTCCAACATAATTTGGGAAATAATAGGTTTTCTTCAGTAGAAGTTGAAGCAAAGCCTGCCATTTGTTCGTAGTAACTCCTAGGAAGTGTTCCTCCAGAACAGCACTTTGCTAGCAAATTGTTCTTCCTTTCTTACCTGCAACTTTCCTAGCCTTTTGTGCATGGTGACTGTGCTGTCAAGGTGGGAAACCCCCAGTGAACCATTGCTTAGAGATGCTTATTTAAAACGCAGCTTATTTTTCATTAGCTGGAATAGACAGTATTGTACCTCACTGTGCTCTTCAGGTTGATCTGATATTGGTTATTTTTATGTGACTGTCATATGAATAATACCATTACGACACCAGTGGGCTCTACAAATACTAGGCCTAAGTTCCTGCCATCAGAACAGTAATTTTCACAGTCATATCAAACAGTCTCCATCAACTGTGAACACATTGCAACTGAAAAAATGAAAGTATTCAAAGGCGCTTCTTTTTCACCCATGCTGCTTCTATTTCCTCTATGCCATCCAAGAAGGTCTCTGCTTCAATAATTACAGTTAACCTACAGCTTTAATCAGTGGAAAAAGAGTTGTACTATAATCTGAAGTGTTAGTATCTAGAATATATTCCTTCCTACACTCAGAGCAACAAAAGGAGGAAATAAAAGCTGAAAATAGATCTGCAGCTGGGAGGCAGTGGGGGTTGCTGCACAGCTGGTTGACCTCAGTGGTCACCACCTCACACTGAACTTACTTGTCTCGTTTTACAGCAGCCAAGAGTTTACTGAAAAAGCCAGATGGAGTTAAGGTAGGTTAAACATGTAATATAAAATCTATTTTGTTAGTCACCACCTATCTGTAATTTCTGACAGATTTTAGAATTGATTATTATTTCTTTTATCAAATCTATTAATAAGTGCTTCTTGCCGTATATTTAAAGTGATTAAAATTAGAAGGTAAAGCTAATAAATAAAATGAACTAATTGAAAACCAAGCATTTTAATAAGTGGAAAATAGAAAACTGCTGGTGAAAATGCTCTTCTTGCTATTTTAATGAAGGATGATTTTGCTCTTAATGACTTGTCGTGGTTTAAACCCAGCCAGCAACCCAGAACCACACATCTGCTCGCTCACTCCCCCACCTCTCTTCCTCCCCCAGCTCCCAGAGGGATGGGGAGGAGAACCCAGGACATGACTCAATGTTACTAATTAGCTTATAACTAAAAATCTGGGTTTGGTGGTGGGCATGTAAGCTTTTTAGGTATCAATATATATCTGCAGACCTGTTGGCTCTGTGTTTCTCGTTTTGACTTTTCATTAGATTTCATGGAAGACCAAAAGTTTACTTGGTAGGCTTGGCTCCACATAAGGTGTTTCCTGCCAGATGTACAGGCAGGGGGATTGGACTAGATGATCTTTTGAGGTCCCTTCCAATCTCTAACATACTGTGATACTGTGATACTTGCTGTATTTGGCAGAACTTGAGGGGTTTTACTAGACCAACAAATCAGCTCATCCTGCCTAACAGGCCATCCTAAGAAGGGAACATTTTGGCAGCTTTCATACATGATTTAGAGCTTCTATTCTCCTATGATCAGATCCTGCAGGAGCAGAGATGCTTCATAAATGAACATTCTGGATAATTATGTTGAAAAACAGCCATTAAGAAAACTATCAGCAATGAAAAGTATTTCTTTTCTCTGAGGATCCTGAAGATTAAAATAAGTGCCCCAAGCTTTCATTAGATGATACAAAAGATACTCTTCTGTGCATTGTCTGCTTACTCAGAAGTGTGTCTTTGGCCTGAGTTTTAATTTCCTATTTAATCTTAACTTTTTATTTTAACAAAATATTGTATAACTAAATACCAGATTCATGGTGTATTTTTTCCTGTTCTCCCACATATGCATATTTCTCCTAGTAAAAAAAAATAATCAGACTGATTTAAAATGAAGTTAGTACACTACCATTTTAATGCTTCTCACTGCCAAGTAGTGGATAACCTAATTACATGGAGAAGCATACATTCGGTACTGTTCTCTCATTCACATGGAAAACCCTTAACCCTTGTTACGGAATATGTAAGTTTTATGTACTCCATCTGACCAGCTTTTCCTCTTCAGGTATCATTCCTCCTACAGGTCTACAATGGTATTTGTTATAGCTTATATATATGTAGAAAAAAAACTTGCCAAAATTTTGCCTAAATTACACTTGCTGGGGTTTGATATTTTGGTTTTCAGCACATGTTATATGTCTGCTGTTTGTCTGCATGGTCAGGTGGAGCAAAGGAAGTAAATTTACATCTGGGGAGGTCTTATTTTTGTCATTTCTGTTACTGAGATACTATGTACTCCATAGCATTTTCCCACTCCTGCAGCTTAAGCTGTCTTTTTCGTAAAAGAAAAAAAAAAGCCAAAACAGAAATATACTGTATTCCATGCATTGAAACTTCAACCAGTCACATTTTCTTCTTTTCCTTTCTCTCTGACTGGTCAATTCAGAAAAGGAAGTCCAGTTCGAGTGTTCAGATGATGGTGAGGATCTTTATCAACAGATTTTTTAACTCCTGTGAAACATTCACACCTAGAAATCAAAACAGTTGTGTTTAGTTTTGTTAACATTCTTTGAAAAGCTGCAAGACTTGAAAGTACAACCTTGTGAATTTTAAGCCTACAGTTGCTGTATGCCATCCACAGTGAATTGTTCTGTAATTCTTTCAAGAAAGTTTTGAGGGTTTTTTTTTAACCTGGGGACATATGAAAACAAAAAAGTACATGTAACATTGGCCAATGCAGCTGTCCTTAGTTAAAATAGTAACAAAATAGTATCCTTGTTAACAGCCTTCTATTAGTGTTCAAAACCTCCTTATTTTAAAAGTTAATGATATTAATATCATAAAATATAACACAAACCACGTTGCACAGGGAAATAGTACCACTTTAATTGAGCCATTCTAGAGCAAGATGCTGAATGCTCAGGAGTAAAAAGAAAAACAATTTCCCAGTCTTTCCATACTACAGTTTCCCAGCTGTCTTCCTTCACACCTCAGGCTCTGTTGCTGACAGTCAGTCTCAGTAACTTGTCTTCCTCCTCAGCCTACTCTGCAGTCTTGTGTTTCATTTGTCCTCTGTGATACCACCCATCAGCTTCCTCTATTTCTGTTTATTATGGGTTTGAATCTGACTTGTGAGATGTTTGTGATGATCAGTGCTGATGTCCCAGCCAGCTTCTGTGCCTGCTGCCTGTAGGGAGAAGGCAAATATCCCTCATCCACACCTGTCCCTGGGGATTACAAGTTGCCTTAAGAAGCAAAAATTGCTGGTCAGGTCTGCAGAGACATGCAGTTAAAGAGGTCTGTCCAAGTGAACACAGACTTTCAGTGGCAGAGAATCACTGGCAGCAGTGTCCAAATGAGGGTCACCAGAAAGGTACAGTGAGGATATTTCTGATATTCCAGATGTGAAGTGTGCTTTAACTTTTTGTTACAGAAGTACCATGTGAAAGATTAAGTCCCAAGATACGGGTTTTGTATATTATATGGTATTGGTAAAGACCAGTAATGATTACCATTACCCATATCATTATATGATGTTTGTAATGACAGACATGCCCAGCTGTTTGGAGGGTTTGTGTGTGTCTGTCCTGTCCTACTGTCAGACCTAAGAGAGTGGCTTTTGACAAGCCATTCATTAGTATAAATGTTATCCTTCCTAGAAACAAGTAGAATTGAGTGCAATCCAGCCTTAAAATAACTGTTTCATGTGAAAATGTTACTTATTTAGGAATCATTTCCATTTGCTGTTAAAAGTATATACAAAATACAACCCCATGTGTTCATATAGTTACAGAAGCTCATGTGTATATTCTGTGAGGGAAAGTGTACAGACTTACTCTCGCAAGTTTTGAGGGGTATTACCAAGTTCCATTTACACAGAAGAAATAACTGGATTTTGAATCACATGATCTCTTTCTGCTTTTACAAATGAATGCTGTATTCTCAATATCTAACTAAGCAGGCTTGAATATATTTCCTGCAGTTTTCAGCAGTAGCTGCGATAGGTACTGTTTATTTTTATAGGACTTTAACCAAAAGAGTGTGGACCCAAGCCTGCTCTCCTTACTCAGGCAAAATTGGAATTGAAATTTGATTAACCTACTTCCATTATGTATTCAACAACAGGCATTTGTCTGGCATATCACTCCCTTTTTTTGTATTAAGCTACTACTAAAGAGGACTGTATGAAATCTGGTGAAATCTTCATTTCCTCCTCATGTTTTTGCTTTGTGTCTCTGCCTTTTGTTAGGGCCTTTTTAGTCATAGTCTCTTGATGACTATACTCTCATAAAAGTAGGAACTTGCAGTTGCACGGCTTGATATGTGACTTTTCTCTTTGTTTTGGAAGATTTAGTGTGCTGTTGAGCAGCATTGTATGTGTTCTCAACTGTTCCACAGTTCTCCTGTAGAACTTGCTCATGGAACTGGTTGGAGCTTTTTTTAAAGTTTTTTCCTGAGTAAGGAGGTCAGGTTTTGCCATCTCACAGTCCCACAAATATCAAGGCAAGTTACTTGATATATAAAATACTTTCTAATACCCGTCTGCCCACAAGTTACTTTGTGCACAAAGGTATTTATTCTGTCCCTGTCTTGGTTCAGACATCGCTGCAATTTACGGCTGTAATTGTGAATAGATAAATCTATTTGACAATAACTAGGCCAAGGTGGGGTTTAAACTATACACTTGGAATTCAGTGATGACTCATATTTTCTCTTCATGACAGTTTCTGTAGAAAGACCATTGTTAAAAGAATAACTATTTCTCATCCTCCTGTTATAAAGCACCGTGAACTTAGATTTTAAATCAAAGTAAAATGTTTTCATTCTGCATAGGAGGATGTTTCCTATCACAAATACTGCTACATAATGTTTAGTTTCAAAATAGTGTTCCCTGATACTGAGTAGCAAGACTGCTTTATATTCTTCAAAGCCAGTTAAATGCTGGTTAAGATAAGGATATTGGCAGTCTGTGATTAATTAATGCAAATCCTGACATATCCTGATCTCAACATATCCTAAGTAAGATTCTCTTCAGTTGCAGACTCAATTCCTGTAATCGACAAGTCAGCTGCCACACCTGTACCAAAGTAGAATAATCCCCCAAATCTGCTGAGGACATGAAGTTCAGTGAGTTTGCCCCATGGTGCTAACTTCTGAAGGCTCCCATTTAGCAAAGCCCTCGGTACAGAGCATACTCAGATGATGAGGAGCTGTTTACTTCAATTGAAACTGCAGAGTCACTGGGAGGATTAAATCAAAAGTCAGATGTTTTATGCACAGCTGAGTTTGGTCCCTGTCTTAGGACTTCCGCTTTCCTTATGCTTTTTCATCTAGGCAACTTAACTTATTGCTATTTTTAAATTAGTTTAGAAAGGCTTTTATTTTAGAAGAAAAAATACCCAATTTTGACCCTAAAATTTCTAGGGTTTGTTTCTTTAAATGATGAGATTAATTACTTTTTTTTACAAAAAAACCTATTAACGGAACAATTTCAGGTATTTTTCCTTTGTTTGACACATTTGTCACTAAATTCTGTGACTAGAACATTCAGTAAAAACTTTTTAATCAAGGTCTTTTCAGACAATATATACCTATACACCCAATTCTGCATGTCACTTTGGACTGCTATGGTTAGAATTTGACATGACCAAAATGTACCTAATAGCTTTTTTCTAATTATTGTTAAAGGAAAAAAATGCATACTTCAGACTAGTTTTACTATGCTTTAACTTTGCTTCATAGTGTGTGTAAAATTGGATTGGTACATTATTTTTAGTATTTCTGTTCTTTTCATGCCATGCTGTTTATGAAAGCTGACTCTTAAAAGTGGATGTAAAGAATTGGATACATTTAAACCTATTGCTGAATAGCTTAATTTGGATTAAAATTTTGTAGAAGTAAAGCTTTAATACTATGCTAAGCTTAAGAATTAACATGATGACCTACATGTAAACTGAAGCAGGTATGTACTGATTTGTGGAGTAAGAATGCAAATACTATAGTGTGACTATAGGTTATAGTACCAAAATTGAACAGCTGATACACCATTACTGGAGGATTCTTGAGACTGCAAGTAATCACAGCCGCCTGTTTGTTTTCTCTAAAATAACACCAAAAAAGCTAAAGGGGCACCAGTCTCTTTCTAGCTTTAGTTGTATTGTGCATATCTGGAATCAGCTGTATTTATTCAGATCTGTTCCCAGAAGCCAATAGGACAAATGTATAGATAGCTGAAGATCTATGGGGTAACGAAATAGGTGATAGGTAATCAGAAATAAAGAACAACTGGGTGCAATTTATTTAATACTGTTGCATGTCAAAAGATCACAATGGCTATTGAGGACTTTCTCCAAACCTCTATTAATTCTTTATTCTTCTTACATATGCTTAGCTGCTACTTAAAGGCTCCTTTAAGTGTCACAGCTGAAGTCATCTTCTATAGACCTTCATCTAGTGCACCTGAAAACCCGCAGCTAGCATGTTTGGAGGAGCTGCAGCTAGCTATAGGATCTGTTGTTAGCGTTCTTTCAAGTTCATAAATTCATCTTTCTGTGATTCTTTATTTCCATATCTATATCTGTATATAGTTATCTATATCTGTATAAGATGTTCTATACAGTGGGATATAGATACAGTGCCTACTGTGAGTTCTAAGGCCTGTCTGTTTCTATTTTCTGCATACCTACAGATAAACAACAAAACGAACGTGGTAACCAGCCCCAAGGAAAATATTCCTACCCCGGCGCTGGTATACCCGCAATCTTCCTTCTCATGCTATCTTGAAGTTTTTGACTGTCTTCTGTTCTTCTTTTTTTGCTTTTTCATGCATTTACTCATTTGCTTTCTAAAAACAGGTCTTGGAAAAACTTTTTGTTTGAATTATGCTTACTTTTGTTTTGTGAGGAAGTCCATTCGAGCGTGTTTATTGATAGAAAATATTACATGGAAGTTGGATGTGGTAGAGTCGTAGCATTTGTAACTGTACTTGAATTTTTTGCATGCTGTTCCAGAAAGTGAGTAGAATGTGCTTTGTGTTGCTTTTAGTTCTTTGCCTGATGACTGTTTCCATCTTTTTAATGCTAACCTTTTGCACCAAAAAAAAAAACAAAAACAAACAGAAAAAAACAACAAAAATAACCCTCTATTATTTTACTCTGCTTTCTATTTGTGTGAGTATCAAGGAAAGCTAACAGGAGTATTGTTAGGCTACCATAAAATAGACCTTATTCAGATTTTCATTCCGTATTTCCTAAAACACAGCAGGACTTTGCAAGTCTTCACTGGGATCAAGAGGCATCTAGTGCTAAACATTTTTTGATTGTTTCTCTTACATTTAAAGCTGCAGGAGACGTAAGTCATTAATAAGCTCCATTAGGAATATATTACTAATGGAGTGCAGTTCATGAATGCTTCCGTTGCAGTCTTGCTTTTATTAGTAGCTCCCATTTCTTAGGCATACGTGCTTCACAGAACTCACAAATATGGATACCAGTAATGCTTGTGAGGTGATGTTTCCTGTGTGCCTCCATATATAGCTTTGAAAAGATGGATAATTCACACACTTTGGGAGAGATTTTTCCTCCTGATTTTTTTTTTTTTTTTTTTGCACAACTGGCATTGCTAAGCAAGTTCTAAGGACCAGTTAACAGGTTTCATGCCTGAGTGTAAGGCAGTCTGTTCCCAGACATAGCCACACACAGTAATCCATGCTGAAAGCATGCTGCTTAACTGCTATTTCAAAGATGATTTTATCTTTTTTTTTTTTTAATTTTGTTTAAGAGAAGAGAATTTGGGAACACTTTATAATGATGCGAAGATCTCTCTTATGTATTTTTATGTTGCTCTCCTGGGGCAGCAACCTGGTATTAATCTCCGTCTTCCAAAACATGGAGGTAGTCAACTCATCCTTAATCCGTATTGATTCATCTGTATTTTTATTTGATCACTTAATACTAATGCAAGCAAACATGCTTCAAGAAAAGGGGTGATTTCTGGCCTTGTCTTGCCTGGCTCAAAGAGGAAAATGTGTAAAACATTTAGTATGCCCTTGTGCAAAGACAGCCTCTGCAGATCCCCAGAGCTTCAAAGCCCTGTTTACATTGGTCATGAATAAGGTCTCTGCATGCTGCTGTATTAGGCAAGATGGTCCTTTTTTGCTGGCTTGCTGTTGAGGAAATCTATTTGAGACATCCAGTTTCACCATCTGGCAACAGTTAACATTTGCTTTAGTTCGTGTCAGTGTTCAGCATTTGTGAGCTGGCTCTTCTTGCACTCCCTCACACTAACAAGAATGTATTTACCAATGGGTACTCTTTTTCTCTTTATTTTGTTCTTGCTTAGGAGCCCCAAACTACAGTAATCCACAACCCTGATGGAAATAAGGTATTCAGAAAGAATCAACTCCATCTTGCTTTTCCACACCTCACATTTCACCCACTATTCCACAGGAGAATAGGGCTGTTCCAGGAGTTTATCAAGGAAAATCTCATTCCTGCATTTGTTACGCCTGTTGTCTCTTGAGCCTGTTCTGATCCGTGTTCATCTGCTTCATGCATCCTACTGATTGCTGAGCTTCTGAAGCTCTTGGGGAGTCAGTAGCAGTTGGCAGTGTGCAGTACCCTGTGCAGCTGGGCTCGGGGAGCACCTCATCTCTCCCATTTCAGCCAAAAATGCTGCAGCTTAAGTAAAACCAAAGAACGCTCTTCTCAGAGCATGGTGAGATCATACCGATGAGTTCTGTATGTGCAGTTGTCACCTTAGATAAAGATGTCATTTAAGTTTATGCCATCTGCTGCTTCTGAGCATGCTTGTACACCCATGTTGTGATGTGTCTTTCACACAGGACTTTGGTTTTCTTCGATAACATCACCGAGTAGTTTCAAAAAAATTTTAACATTTCAAGTGATGAAGAGGTCTTTCGATTTTTATACGTTTTCTTCATACTCTTTTCTTTTTCTTGTGTATTGTGACATTTACGTTTGGCAGCTGATTCCTAAAACATGTTTTGTTTTGGTTTTTGCATGCATGGACTTGAAAAGGGCCAGGAAATACCATCATTTACATATAACACATGTTCCTAGGTTTCCTGGAAAGAATTTGCTCTTCAACAAAAATTTCACTGTTTACAGTGTTGACTTGAGGAATTGACATTTCATTAACTAGTCTTAACTACTTGTGATTATTTCATGTGAGGAGGATAGAATCTGAGTGAAACAATAACGCATGCAGACATTTCTCAAGCATGAAAGTGCCGATGGTGTGCCGATGTACTGTGCTTGTGTATCCCCTTCCTCTATGTACCTCACATCTGTCGAACACGCAAGCTTTTCATATTACTACTTCTTCAGCTCCCCATGTTTAGACTCACGGGCCCGACACAGCCTGTGTTTGAACAGTAGTCTGACCTTTATTGCTGAAGTCCACTGAAGACCAGAGAACCCTAATAAAATATTGGCATGACTAGATCTACCTGACTTAATTGTACAATCATAGCAACTAAGATACTCAGAGCCCCAAAAGGTCACAGGAAACAAGCAAACCACTTAATACAGAGAGTTACTTCTAAATTTGAAAGATTTATCATTGTACTATGGCAACTGGAGTGGATGCTTCAGTATTAAAGCCTACATCTTCCATGTGAGCTTGTGCATGGTGTTTACAGCTTGTATCTGTGTGGGGTTTTTGTATACTTACAAGTACTTACCTATATTTTAAGTGATAGAGCATGATACACCTGTGCAGAGCGAAGTGTCTAACACCAGCCAGTTCAGGAAAAGCATGGCAACTTGTTCAGTTTTGTTTGTGTTTGCATTAATTCATGTAGTTTTATTTGTGGATGCACATACGTTTTGTTTTTTAAAAGGTCTGAGTAATGCATTAGACATTTTGAACATTCCTTCAGCTCAGCCTTGTGAGGACACAGTAAATAAAGGGCAATGTCAGATTTACCTTTTATTACTTAATTGTAAAATCCTTTCAAAAATTAAATACAGAACTAGCCCTGTCTTCTATCTCTCAAATAAAAATGGGCCAGGTAATGCTTTTTGCTGTTGAGATGTGAACTGAAAAAAATAAGAAAAAGAAATTTATTCTGCTTTTCAAGAAAATACAGATATAAAAGCCCCCAGTTTATAAGCTCTCCAAATTTCTGAACCCACTTACCTGTTAGATTTGACAGTGCCCTGCTGGATTTGCCTCTAGTATTTCATGTTTCTGGTAATCTATGAAAGATTGAGATATAGTATCCGTGCCTTTTTTAACAGTTTGGTGGCGTAAGTAAAAGGTGTCGATAATGAGTCATTCCTCTGCATGACTGGTTGTCTCAAGAATACTACTGCAAAGATACCTTAGTTTGTCAAACTTGTTATCATGTAGTTATCAATTCTTCATCTCCTTCAAAAATTTCTAATCACAGAACCAGTATGAAAATGACAGAATCTGGTCTACTATCCTTAAAGTCACTGGGAGACTTTGTTTTAATATGTGTTGCTAAGTCATATGAGCAGAAAAACAGTTGCAAATCATAGTATGCAGAAGTATGCATGTTTAAAAGTTGGAATGGAATGACTTACTTGCACAGTTGGTTTAATCACTAAGCTTAAGTGGCAAGCACTCCTTCTTGGCTGAGGTAATTCATGTAACATTTCATACAGACTTTGTGCAGTTGGGTGTTGAAGGAAAAAAAAGTTTCCTTTACATTCCTGTGAAGTAAATGCATTAAACAGCAGGAAATGTATTTATGTTCCCTATTGTAGAGACTGTCAGTGTTTTACATCGGTTTCAGCTGAAGATGTCTTTAATCGTGTGACCATTTGTTTGTGAATTACATCCCGCCCTGCTTCAAGGCTTTGCATGGTACCTGTAACTAACTGTAATTTTCAAGGGCACACAAGTGAGGCTTGGCTTGTATTGTACATTCCACTGATATTTACTTCTCAACAGGAGTCAACAGAGAGTTCCAATACAACCATTGAAGATGAGGATGTGAAAGGTATGATTTTAAGCTTTGAAACATTTGGAGAAGCCATAACATGAGTTCTGTGAATGTATTTTTTTTAGGTCGTTAAACACAGAAACTCCTAATGAATCATAGGAGAAAACAGAATTTTTCCTTGTTTAAAAGAAATTACTTTTATGCTCCTCTGTGTTACTTCTGACATGTTTCAGACTTAAGTTTTGACTTTTCATTTCCCAAAACACCATTTGCCATGATGTTTTGGAACGAAGAATATAAAGTTACCGCTTATTAACTAAGATATGAGTTCCAGTAATAACAGTAGTAGAATAAAAATTTGTAAGTCTGTGCTTTGTAACTCTTACTTAATGTACTTTTAGCATACATTTGTGTTCTGGGTTTGCCTTTTTTCATATCACCATAGCATTTTTATTCTGTTCAGATGCCAGTGTTTTTTCACTTTTCTCTTTTGTTCTGAACACACTTATTTTAATCTCCTTTAAAAAACTATTTTTTAATAAAGTTGTGTAACTTCACAGATACTGCTTTTGTTTTCATTTTCCCCCTCTGTATATTATACTGTGATGTTACACATACTTCAGTAACATTGTGTTTTAAAACAAAGGACTTTAAATAAAAATGTGTTAGGCTTGTGTATCTCTGGGTCACAGAAAAAACTCGATTTCAGCATCAAAAGAACAACATTATAGATACACACAAGCCAGAGGTGATAGTAAATATAAAATGTGGAGAATGGAAAAGAGAATTCTTGGGAAACCATTGAAATAATGGGGCTTGCTATATGTTGGAAGTGTAACGCCTAAGTCACCATTAACAGTGTGTGTGCAAAAAGTTGCGTCCAAAAATACAGGCCTGAATTGGCTAAAGAGCTTCACTGGCTTCTGAAGAGCATGGGGACATTGTCGACTTTAAAGAGATTCAAACATAAAGTAGTTAGAATTGTATCAAAAGTACCTAGTGCTTAGTTTCTGACTACAGGTGCTGTGCATGTTTGATAAAAATACCAGTATTGCCAGAGTGATGAACTGATAGTGCAAATATGAAAGCACTGTGTGATGGTAGCGGCTGTCCATGCACTGCAGGGTTGAAAATGCAGCTTTTATGTTATGCTGCATATGAGATTCTTCGGGCATTTACATCAAGGCAGCTTAGCTCAGGCTTGCACAGGGTCTGTGGCAGGGCCCAGCCAATGGTTTGTGCTGCTGCTCTTGGAAAGCCCAAGGAGCTCAGCTGGGCTAATACCCACAGTCTGCTGCACTGCAATAATTCCCTCTGCTTTGGCATACTTGGTGTTCTCTCCCTGGAGAGAAGACATTTCTATCCACTGCTAGTAGCAATGTAGCTGTAAATTGTGACTTAGAGTACCGTAGGAGCTGCAGTTAGCTCTAATTTGGTCTCAGATGTTTCAGTGACTCATTTCACCTGCACTTAACAAAGTCTTCTTGCGTTAACAGCCAGTTCCCGCTCACTTTAAATAACAAGTGTTTTGAGGGAATGCAAAGTAATGCCTTGGAGGACAGTTGCAGGTATCTGGGGCTGATGCAGAGGAAAATACAGTGTTATTTACCCTTATTCATAACACTTTGTATTTTCTTCCTTCAAACCATTATGTGTAGTTTAGACACTAATCTCATTAAATGAATATTTTAATTTTAGAGCCTCTGTGTGGCAATATAACATGGTGTTATAATGGTAGGATTTTTATAAAATTCTGTCTGAAGCTTAGCACACAGTTATATCTCAGGAACATAATTATAAGAAAAACTACAATGAAGATGTTTCGCCTAATTCTTTAATATGATTCTGTAGCAATCACAGTTAAGAGCAGGTTGGATGGCCACAATATACTTTTTTTCCAAAAGAGGATCTTGCAGTAATCACGGGTCTGACAAGATCCTTGTCATGGCCTTCTCTTTGCTGTAAAATGTTCAGCAGGTGAAGTTTTCTGTTATCTGTAGGTTCCTGACCCATTGCCACATAATAGTGCTACAGAAGGCATAAGGTGGATTAAGGCAGTTAGAAGAGCTGAGGCTGTACTCCAGAGTGCTGCATTGTGTGTTTTCTGGAGACTGCGAAGGAGGAGCTGAAGGATGTCACCTGTGCTTGGAAGAGAAGAGGCAGAGTAGTGTTGTATTGCTCTTCACCTGCTTTGGTGGGAAGGTAGAGTCACCAAGAATGAGTTTGAACTGCTGATGTCTGGGATGATCACGACAACTTCATACACTGATGCAGTTGTATCAGCAGCAAATCCATGGCCTAACACACAGCAGTGCCACTACCCTGTTCAGCAGATGCCAGGTGCACATTTTATTCCAGTGCATAGGGATTTCCCTTCCTGTTTATTAAAAAAAAAAAACCAACAAAAAACCAAACACAAATATAATCTCCCAGGTAATTGCTTGCAAGCTTGTTTTTCACTTTTTAGTATTCCACTCACACTTCCAGTCTTTCCACCAGAGGCTGCTTGCAGATTGTTTTATTATAATTAAAGCCGACAGTAACCCCTAGGGTCTAATTTCTAGAATGATTCAGGGAATAGGCAGTCCTGCAACCCTCACAGCTATTATGAGATAAAGCTTCATGCTTTAGCAAGGCACTTACGAATTATATTTTCCCCCTATACCAAACTTGACTTCTGGATGTAGATTTTCTAGGACAACAGTGAGAAAGCTGTTGTCTTATCAGGAACAGCTGCTGGCTGCACTGACTGCAGCTGGAAACAAGATGCTGATAGGAATGAGTGGATTTCAGAGGTAGCACAGAGAATTCTCTCAGATTGCTAGCAGTCTAGATCCCTATGTGTATGCTCAAGATGACGCTTGTCATCAAATTTGAGACCTGGAAGGCATGTTTTATATCGTAGATGAAAAATGACCTTACAAACCTGTTGGTTTCCTTTGCAGCATGCAGAACAAGGGGTGGGAAGAGGCTCTCCTGCAAAGAGCATGGAAATGGGAATGCCACTTTGTAACTGAAAAATGGTATTAGACTATAGTTTATAGCGTTGTAGTATGCCCCATACCTCACTGAGAACAACTCTTCTTTGCAAAGGCATGCAATCTGTGCACTTTCCTGGTATTCTACCTCCTGGTATTATAACACCATGCATAGATTGCAGGCAGGTGCAGGTTCCTTCCTTTGTACAGACTACCACCCCGCACATATTTAAAACACTCAGTTCTGCATCAAATGGTTTTCTTGTTTTGCTATTGATTTGACATGCTAAAGTTCTGTGGATAATGTGAGCTTGTGTGGGATCTAGTATCTCCAGCCCAATTGTGTTTCTGTGTGCCCTGTGGGAGTGACTGTGTGTATGCATGCCTGTACAAAGTATTAACAAACGTTACGATTCATTAAGAAAGGTACCAGGTAAAAAAAAAAAAGTCTTAAAATCAGCTATCACAAATGTGTCTATAGGAACAGATGCTTGGTATCTATCAGGGAATACATACAGTATTATCCACTCATATCAGGATCTTACCCTATTTTCACTTTTGAAGGCAGGTATTTTAGCTTGAAGACAGCACAATCAGGCTTAGTTTTCACTTGTTATTTGTGGAAAATTGTGAAGTCTGTAACTTTGTGTTGCTTCTGTATGCATTTACGTCTTTTAGGACTGGAACATATTTCTTTTACTAGAAACAGACCTTAGCAAACAATAGTGAGCTTTAATTAGTCAAGTAATAAGCTAATTCTAGACTGTGGGTCTGAAACTTCTTGAAGCTGTAAGTTCAGGTTCCTTGTTAGCAGAAACCTCTTATATTAACCATTGGACATGGGGCAATCTGCATTTCAGTGATCCCTCTCAAATTTAAGGACAGAAGTGGACAGAAGAACATACTGAAAACTGGACTGTAAGCAATACTGCCTTTTGGGATTGCTTGTGGGATTTCTGTTTCCTGTGGTAATAAACTGGAAGTCTTTAGCAGCATCTCTTTGATAAGAGATTGATAAGGTTTTTCTCAGCTGGAGAATAACCACTGTTATTTTCACCAGCAGTGCACACAGACTTTTATAAAGCTGAGTTGTTAAATTTAACATGATTAGGAAATCCATATTTCTCATGGGTTTTTTTTTCTCTGGAAATAAATTAATGAAAGCACTAGTAAGAATTATGATTCCCAATGGGAAAAATTGCTGAGTTATAGGACACATACAAATCAAGTGTATTTTGGCTAGTCTTTGCTACTTAATACATCACTTCAAAGCATTCAGGAGGCATTTATTTTCATATATTTTGCTAATTTATTTCATTTTATATCTGTTTTCATTTTATTTAACAGTAGGAAGAAATCAGTTTAATCCATTTGGAACATGCTTTAGTAAAGAAAAACCTTCAAACTTCTAAGAACATTTTTTAACTGCTCTTTCAAACCCCTCAGTTCTGGATAGAGGGGTAGATGTGCACTGGCATCTGAACAGTCATTTGTGGCTACAACCTTTTTACAACTGTTCTTTCATGCCTAAAAGTACATTGTTACCGTTGTTTGTGTTCTCAAAGGTTTTGTAAGTTCTTGTTGCTTGTAATTAAATTATCATTATTTTTCTTTTGGCCTTCTCTTTTTCTTCCTTCACATCTACTTGACCCTCACACAGCTCTCACAAAGGAGGGTGACTTGGAGAGGTTATTTTCCACCCACCAATCCTCCTCTTCCATTGCTTCTTCACCTCACTGGTCACCACCCTTGCCGTGCCCCAGCGGCCGCTCCTGCTGCCAGTGCCTCCTGAGGATTCTGATCACATTCTACCTCTTCATGTTTGTTTGTTCATATGTTGTGTTTCTTTCCATCAATTCAGCGGGCAAGTCTGTGAAAAATGCAAACGCAGAAAGTCTTTCACGTGAGTCTGAACTCTCCCACTCCACTCCTTCCTCTGTACTGTGTAAGTTGAGAGACACATCTGTCCAGATGATCTCTTTTGTCTCCTCCTTTTCCCTCCTCATCATCTGACAGTAACACAAAAAAGGTCAATTCTGTGACATAAATGCCCAGTGAACCTCGTCTGTAGCATAACAT